TATGCATTTTCTTAATCTAGACAATACCTTGGAAGGTAAAAGTCCTTTGCTTAATACCTAGAGCCCCATTTTCCACAAATTCAGAACAAAACATATAAAACTAAAAATGAAAAACTCATCCATCAGCGGCAGCTCCTGTCCCCTGGGGCTTTGTCCAGCTCCCCACTCCAGGCGTGGCAACATGGTGCACGGGGTCACAGCACTACTCAGGTTTGGCCCAGCTGCCTCTGTCATGACAGGGGGTAGTCAGACAAAATGTAAGTGATTGGCATTGCAACCTGGTGACAGAGACAGCTGGGCCAAACCTGAGCACAGCTGCGATGCCTGCGCCAGGCTGCAACACCCAGAGCAGGGAGCTGGACCCAGCCCCATAGAACTGCTGCTGCTGTGGAGTGAGTGTGGGTCAGGTTCACTCTGCAACAGCTCCCAGGACCTCCCAACCCCCTTGGGTGTCAGCACTCTCCCCTCCCCCGACTGGGGGTAGGAGCCAACACCCTGCATGGATAAAACAAAGTAACAAAATTCCCCCCATATATAGGCTATTTTTAGAGCCTCATGACATTTTCTTTTATATATACATATATGACACTCTTGACACACACACACACATATATATATATATATATGTGTGTGTAAAAAAGAGTGTCATGAGGCTCTAAAAATAGCCAATATTCACAACTAGAAAGGTAAGAACCCACAGGAATGCATGTGTCCAGGGAATGTACTCCAAGTCACCACAGGTGCTTGTCTTTCTCACTCAAAGGAGAAGAGGAAAGAGGAAGCTCCACCACACACCCTCTTGCTAAGAAGCTTCCCTCTTAATTTAATCCCAGAATGAACTAGTTTCTACTCCAGAATGAGTAAAGCCCCACTTTCCAGCTAGTCTACAATAACCAGACCTTTTACAGAGCAGAATCTCTAACTCCATCATCTCTATTACTCCTGTACAGTCATTTTATAAACTCTGAATATAATCCAATTGAACATAGTTTCTCTATTTTATAAGAAAATTTGCCCCTTGAGGTTGAAAACTGACTATTCAGAGAATACTACTACACTTCTGACACTGAGCAAATTTTGTCACTTTTTAAAAGAGGACAATATTTTCCTCTGAACTGAGAGCTTCACCCAGTCAGATGTACCTGAAAAACAGAAGCATGAGAGATTGACATTTTTGACAGTTATTCAAAAGATTAACTTAATAGTGGTTTGATGATCCAGGGCTTCATTGCCCTTAAAGGATAAGACATTTTATATGACTACTGTTCTATACAAATAAACACAGTAAATTATTAGTGTCCATAATTCCACAATCTTTTTAGAAATGTTGTGGTAAGACCTATAGTCAAAGGGATAATTTTACAAGGAACCATTGCTGCACAAAGGAACCAAGATAACCCAAGTTTTTCCTCATGGTGAACCTCTCACTTCATCAAAGCATTACTAATCCAAAATTTTACCATCTCCTTATTAATAAGAAGTCCGTTTGCGCCATTTGGAAGCCCTACAATTACCAGCATATTTGGAATTGCCAGATAAGCTTCTACATGTATGAACCTAGACATTCCAGCAAGTTATCTGCATGTCAGGAACTTAATCTGCAAGGAGCTACTTCATGAAAGTGCACTTTTCCAAAACTAAAAGCCCTTTAAAGCACTATACAAAAATTGAATCTAAGAATATTTTATTTCTATTTAAAAATCTCAAACTTTGAAATACCAAACAGTTAGATACCCCAATACTTTTTAAAATGAACACTGAAGTATTTACCCAGTAGGGAACTAAACATGCTTTTTTTTAAAAAAAAAGTAAGGTCAACATCACAGATAAGTTTTCACTCCTTTCTTGTGCAGCTCTCTTTGGCTGCCTCAATCCCTTTGTGATTTCTGTGCACCATAATTCTAAATTTCACTATACAGCTGCCCATGGAGCACAGAATAAACTGGCTGGAAAAGAGAGTTAATCAAGAAAAGGAAGATAACAAGGAAGTGCTGTTCTGGCATAAGAAACCAGAATAGGAAGGAAGAATGAGAAAGAAATAAAAAGAGAGCAAAGGGAAGCAACAGAATGAAAGCAAATACATGAAAATAAATGTAGGTTGAGTACATTTGTTAATTCATAGTGGTACTGAGTTTTCCTGGCAGATGGCTCCCAGAGCTGTGCATTTGTTGTGTAGGGAAAGCATTCAGAGTGGGGGGGTTAGCAAGGTGTCAGAGAAAAGTAGTGTTAGGGCAGAATATTGCCAATTAGCTAAAGAAACAAGTATTTTTCAAGTCAGTTGTCACAGCAAGCAACTTTCCTTACCCTACCCCTACCACTCAAAAAAATTCAAGCTCTCTAACTCCTTAGCTCAGGGGTGGGCAAAGTACGGGCCACGAGCCGTTTTAAGCCGGCCCACAAGCTCCAGCTGGGGAGTGGGGTCTGGGGTTTGCTCCGCTCCAGCGCTCCATCTGGGGGCCGCACCATGAGGCTCGGCCCCGCTCCGGCACTCCAGCCAGGGCGCTGGGTCGGGGGCCGCACCACGCGGCTCAGACCCACTCCGGCACTCCAGCCAGGGCTGCACCACATGGCTCCCGGAAGCAGCTGCATGGCTCTGCTCCAAGGGTCGGGGGCCACTCTGCACGTAGGAGCCGGAGAAGGGACATGCTTCCAGGAGCCGCTTGAGGTAAGCCCCGCTCAGAGCCTGCACCTGAGCCTCTCCCCATGCCCCAACCCTGATCTCCCTCCCACTTTCCAAACCCCTTGATCCCAGCCCAGAGCACCCTCCTGAACCCCAAACCTCTCATCCCCAGCCCCAACCCCGAGCCCGCACCCCCAGCCAGAACCTGCAGCCTTTCCCGCACCCCAGCCCCAGCCCTGATCCCCCTCCTGCCCTCTGAACCCTTCAGTCCCAGCCCAGAGCACCCTCCTACACCCCAAACTCATCTCCAGCCCCACCCCAGAGCCTGCACCCTCTCCCGCACCCCCCAACCCCAATTTTGTGAGCATTCATGGCCCGACACACAATTTCTATTCCCCAATGTGGCCCTCAGGCCAAAAAGTTTGCCCACCCCTGCCTTAGCTAGTTTATCTGGAAATATCGAATGCTATAATAAAATGTTCTGTATAAGTTAAAACTAGTATGGTACCATATTTAAGGAAAAACACAACAATGCAACGTAACAGCAGTAATACTATGGTTTCTCACCTACTTATGAGTTATCTCAAACGTTAAAGCACAAATAAAAATTGAAGGCAATCACTGATTTGGACATTAGGGCTGAGGTTTTCAAAGCTGCCTAGATAATTTGGATGCCTAGCCACCACTAATTTTAACTGGAATTGGATGTCAAGATCCTTTAGGTGGCTTTGAAAATCTGAGCCTAAATTTTCAGCCCTAAGTCAATTACTGTGAAGACAGAAAATTGGAAGAAAATGAGATGGAATTTAATTCATTTCTGACTTCCTATCTTTCCAAACTATCACTGCTGTGTTACTATTTACTATCAGTTCAGAAGGAGTATTGTTCCATGAATGACACATTAAGGTGAGCCCTCCTGAAAAGTGTTTTCTGTTGTCAGTATCCCCTAAGTAGCACAGAAGCCCACCAGTCCTGCAAGAATAAACACAGCAACATCCCAAGCTGTAAAAATGAGAGCAAACAAACATCAAACTTACACATGGTACCATTCCTTTATCAAAGGGCTCTATATTTTGAAACAGCAGAGGACTTAAACTGATTTGAGTATCAAACTGAGCACTCCAGAGGGCCAGATTCTCCTCAAGCTCAATTCTTTTGCCAGCTCACAAGTGCACAGTTGGGATTTTATTAACGTTGCAAGTCATTTTTGTAATACTGGCTAGAAAGAAAAAAATCACACGAGACTTAAAAAATGTGATTTTAAACAAGAGGGAAGCAATTTCTTGCTTATCTACTGTGCATTGCTATTTATTTCTACCAATTAAATGGCTATTTTATGAGACACTGCAACACTTCTTAGACTTACCATTTAAAAATACTGACCCTCTTAGATAATTTTTTTTTTTAAGTGTACAACGGTAACTTCACACTAATTTTTATAAGGACAACTTCCCTAAAATGCTATTTTCCCTCCGAAAAATTGAGGTTGCAAATGAAAACCAATAACTATGCTTCTGGGTGACATTACAAATTATATGTATATAATTTTGACTCTTTCTATGAACATATTTGGTTGATCCTTCCTCTCTATACTGTGATTATTTTACTCTTGTACGTATGGAAACTTAAGAGAGACTTTGAGCATTTCAATGACTTGGAATAGTGCGATGAACTGCACAAGAAAGTATCAGATCTATGTGTATACAAGAGATGGGCAAGTTTGCAAGCACTTGTATGCCCTAATAGTCTTCTCTGCCCAACTGTGCTTTTTGGGAATAATGCAAAGAGTAATCTGTATGCACCTGTACTCAAACAGTCAAACTTGTACATCCTATTAATGTAAAGAAGACTTAGTCTGAGTTGGAATAAATCCCAGCTTATTTAGTAAGAAAACATGTTTCTAGAAGCAAGTTACTGAGTAACACAGGAAAAACAAATCTGACATTTCCCTGGGATGCACTATGACATCAAGCTATTTTTGACAATAAGAGGCACCACTACAACCAAACTTTTTGAACAGATGGATTTTTATTTGGAAGCTTGTCTCCCAGCTTCACATCTAACATATTCGCAAATATTTTAACACCTGCATTTTAAAAGGTCAGAACAGCAAAAGAGACCACAGAGAGAATTTATACTACTACAGCTATAATAAAAAGACCTTGCTCTAAATCTTTCCACATTTTGAAAAAGGTCTCAGTTTTGCTTTTCTAGTTGCAACTCTTCAGCTCCAAAATCCAGCTGTGGCCTCAATACTCAGTGAAAACATTCTAGCAGGTAAGACAAGTGAATTACTAAATTCAACATTGGATGCCCAAAGTTAAGGCCCAAAACTAAGTGCAACTCATGCAGTTTAAAATGTAGTCTCTGAGACCCTCACCTTTAATATGGAGGTGCAGCCCATGGACACTATTGGTCTCATGCAATGTTCCATCTTGTTCCACAACCACTCCTACAGAGAAAACTTGACAATAGTCTATTATTTCATAACAGACCCTAAACTTGGAACACTTCCCCTTTCCTGTGCAAAAGTATCTTCCCTCTACTTAAAGTTCACTTTTCACTTATTCTTCCATCACTAACTTCTTATGAACTTGTCTGTGCTAAAATTCAGTCATCTAGAAGAGGTGTTATCTAGTTAAATCTGTCGTAAACTACTCAGGGCAGGAGCTTTTGCTGTGTCTGCAAAGTACAATGCAGACTATACCATCGCAATACAAACATTCAAAAGGTTATATACCCCAATTGATCTACTTTAGAGAAAGTTCTCCAGATTTTTATAGTGAATTTTTAAAAAGCCTACCACTCTCTCACATATGTATTTAACATTATGTTGTCTTTTCCTGTCATCTCCACAACAGCAAATACATACTAATCCAGAGTCGGTGGGGGTTAATCAAAAATGCTAGTGACAAAGGTGTTTTAGCATACCAAGTCAAGCATAATTGAAATGGACTAGCCAATACATTACTGTATTTGTAGGATGTCTGTCTTGATGATCTACATAAAGTCTCATCTACATAAAAGCTGGTTTGCTGGGGCTTGTCTACACTACGCAGCTTTGTCAACACAGCCTTGTCGCTAAAAGTCAGCATGTGTAAACGCTCTCTCGGTATTTTGTCGGCAAAATACTTCCAGCCCCGTGAGCAGCATTTGTGGCTTGCGTCGGCAAAACTTTTGTCTTTCGTGGGGGGACTTTTTTAAGTACCCGTGAAAGACAAAAGTTTTGTCAACAATGTCGCAGTGTAGACAAGCCCTTGTTAACATCTATAATAACTTCCAACTTCACTCAAATCAAGAAGTGGAGAGAGGTAATCTCTGTTTACCAAATTATGTGCATTTTTCTATTAACTGATTGTGTTACATTTCACTTTGCAGCACCCTCTCCTTTGAGTAGTTTCTCTGTTGGGTAGTTATTTCTCAAGAAATACTTAACAGCACAACCAGGATTCAATCAGCATACAGGACAAGCATCAGTGCAATTCTCAAACCGCAAATCTTTAAATCAGATTTAATTTCTCCATTGGCTGTAAACCAGCATTACATTATTGTTGTTTACTACTCCAAACTTTATTTATTCAATACAATTTTCAGTGTACATTATCTTTAGCATTTCATCAGTACTTTGATTTTATTCCAACAGATATTATGAAGAAACCTTAGACTAATCTAAATATTACATGAGACTGAATAAGGCTGCTGTAAAGGTTGGTAGAGTTAACATTTTACTTTTTTCATTCTATCCGTTTAGAAAGCAATTCTTTTTTTTCCCTTTTAAATAAGTGACCTTCTTTCTTCCCCCTATCTTCCTCCCATTATACAGAGCCCAGCTACTCAGCTAACTTTTCAGAGTAATTTATGTGCAAATGATTGAAAATGTTTTTAAACATTTCATTTACAAGCTTCCAAATGAGTTATAAACAATGAAGTTGTGATTTAAAAGTAACATATACCTTGTAAAACTCTAAGGAATAACTTCACTTAAAGGGACACTCAATCACATTTTTCTCAGGATTATTTTATCTACGCATTACAAGTGATAGCTAAGTTTACTATACAATTGAGACGAATATATTTCTTCCAGTTTTTTTTTTTACTTTGTCCACGACAGTACTTTGACATAATCAGTTTCACCATTTCCCTGTATAATCAGCTTCCCCTTCTGTGTGTGTTTTTATACACAAGAAGGGAAAACATTTTTTAAAGTGCCAGTAAATTAACTATAAAACCAAGAAAACAGTCAGGGTGACTCAAACACAGGTGTAGTACCTGAAAATTTACTTTTTAAAAATGTATCTAGATTTTAAGTTGGTGTTCCCTTAAGTGTAAAATTTCCAAATGCTACACATTCAGACCCATTCCCTCAATTTTTTTGCCTATACTTCAAACTCTTCCCGTTTCTATTCAGTACATATTATGAGGCATTTACCTCCAAAATTAATGGTGCTTGGGTGTCTCAGACTCATTGGGCAAGTTTCATGCAAAAGCCTCCAAAAATAATTCTCCTTGCAGAACGCCCACCTCAGCGATTATATTACACCTACTGCGTGAGGCCAAAGCCCGGACATAGGAGAAGGCTCATATCCTGCTGTACAAAACAAAGTGTTAAAGACAAGAGATAAGAATGTAATAAGGGTAAGTTTTACATTTATAAATTATGTTTCATCGTGAAGGACTAATGCTCATTATGAACCAAACGTACAGGTATCACTACTGAAATAGAGCAACTGCTGGAGTTTAACCCAGCTGCCTTCCTCCATTGGCAAGATTACAAAACATTTTAGCAGGTTTTAATTTTAAGCAAAAAATTCCTCTAGTTGACACTATAGTAGAATATTTTGATCTTCAGAACTTAATTATCCAAATTGGAATTCCACCAGGATACAGAACTAACACTGCTATTCACATGCCATCTTTTGATCTCACAAGCAGTTAAGGCTTCCAGTTTTACATCTCATCTGAAATACAGCACCTTCAGCATGACAGTGCCCTCTACAGCCATGATGCATTCCTGATGAAGAGGTGAAGTGCCACCTATTGAGTAACCAACTGTACCTGTTTTCTCCTTGGAGGGTTTCCATCCAAATATAGACCCATCTTGCAATCTAGGGTCTTAGGAGATCATATAGCCCAAGGTAATACGGCTGTCAACCACAACTATGAGGAAATACATTCAGTAGGGCAAGATTCAGATGAGAAGTCTCATTCAGGTTCGTATCTGCTGGTACTAAGACGTGAAGTAGATTATGCCGGGTGTTGGAATGCATTAGACTATGTTCTATAATCCATTTGCTGCACTTTAATTCATCTCACTCATTCATGTTAATAAAAGAATCAAGGTACTTCTATTTTAGGCAGGTTTTGAAGCAGAAGAAGTCAGGTAACTTCAGAGTAGGGAACCAGGAGTGAACAAATCCATCAAAGCTTCCAAAGTATCTTTTAGTTGACCATTAATTTATTAGAGCTTTTCAGACAGAGGATAAAAAGTTTACCAGATTTTCCTCTAGGAGTTGTTTGATTCAAGTGATAGTCTCATGGAGTTCAAAACTTTCTGATAACATCCACACCCTAATAAAGTACTGGCACCACTACAGAAACTGGATTAAGATTCTGGAAATTTGTGGACTAAATTTATTATAGAAATAAAACTTTAATGGGCTGCTGATATGATACAACAATAAAGTTTAAAGCAAAGACTTAAAATTTAACTATTGTTTTAAAAACCTCAGAATTTACATTCTAAAGAAGAGATTTACATTACATACTAGAAAACTGGGCTATTGACTAAGATTGGAGGAATGGAGTTATTTTATTTGAAAAATATTTTTACTATGAACAATAAATTTATTTCCCTGCCATACTGGATTACTTTTCTGACAGAGGACTGGACAGAATGAATAGTCAGTCCTCTGCATTTCTGTCAAGTCCAGATCACCTCATATTCCTCTCTCCCACCTGAAGACCAATTATATAAACTACCTGCCTGGCTGAGGCCTGTTTGGAGCACATCAGTGACAATTACTACATCAACCTGAAGATGTGACCATTGAGCAAAGCAAGGCACTTCAACCTGTACCAGGGTCAAACAAGTCCAGCCCCAAAGACTGAAACTAGTTACCCTACATGGTACAAACCATGATCATCAAGCCTCTGGCATTTTTCTGAATTTTAAAAATCCTGAATAAAAGTTTTCTCCAATAGGAAAGTCTCATTTTACTGACATTTTATTACGAGTTAAAGGGAATTATTGGTTTAGATATAAAAAGTACAACACAACAGCATGTGTCAGAACTGGTTGCAGCTGCATGCTTCTTAGTTCCAAGCAGTAAAAAATGTTAGTTTCCTATAAGACTCCACTTTTTTCTTTTGCTTCGCTAGTCCATGTACATTTTAAATATGGTCTATTTCCAAAGAGCCACTTTAGTTAATTATGCGCAAATAGCATGCTCTGAGAAGCCAGCCGTGAAAGTAGAATGAATAAAAGACTATATTAATACAACATTATGGTTGAGATTTTTGAACATACTATTCTGAAAATATTAAATTATGGCTCCCTCAGTAAGAGAAATGCAACCTCCTTGTGCCTATGGACTATTCAGACATGTATCCTATTGTGCTCTGCTCACCACAAGGTGAATGATGGGAGATGCCTGTTTACCAGGGGCTGGAACACTGGCACCTGAACGTTCCATAGCAGTTGAGCCAAGCGGATTTGAGGAGCAGGCAGTGACAACACCAAGAGCCTGGGGGACAGCATGGAGCGAGATGGGAGAGAAAGCCAAGATAAAATAAGGAAAAAAACACAGCAGGGTCAGGGACAACACAGAGGAAAAAAACAGAGTGACAGAAGCCAGAGAGAAAAGTGGCAAAGAAAGAAAAGTTGACACAGAAACCTCCCTGAAAAGGTAAGTGTGGCTTCTGGATAGCCTTGTTCCTGCACTGAGAGGAATAAATAGTTCGAATCCTGACACAGCCACCATTTGTTTATATTAAATACTTCATTTTTCCTCTGTCAGACTACTCCTCACGTGGTAGTAAAACAGCTCCAACTGACTTTCAGAAGTACTGGGCACCCACAGCTCCCTGTGAAACCAATGGGATTTACTGGTGCACGCCACTTCCAGAAAGTCACAGCTAATGTTTCACTTTTCCAATAACAGCTATAAACCTATGAAGGAGATTGGTTTTCAATATAAAACACACTACACTCTTGGTAATTTCTCTATGGACAACAAAAACACCTATTTCACTCACTCTATCACAAACAACAGACACTGTACTCAGCTTGTCAGTTGGTAAGAGTTCAGTCATGGTAGATCTATCCTTGAACAAGGGCTTGCTTTCACTGCTTCAGTTAACGAGTTACTCTACTCAAGCTAACCTAGCTCAAGAGTGGACACACTGTGAACCACATTGCACTCAAACTACACAGAGCAAATAGATTTGCAGAGTGAGGGGATTAGCAGATAATGAATTATACTAACTCCAGCTGTAGCCTGTAGCTGCATCCTCACTGCATTTCTAGGTCAAACATCAGCAGCACTTGACTATCAACCCTGATGGGCCAGCTAGCTCAAGTAAAGCACGACTTAACTCGAACTAGAGATTTGTGTGTGTGGAGGGGAGTCAGGTTAAGGGTGACCTGAGTTATACCTCGAGTTAACACTGTAGTGAAGCCCTGAGATTAGTTTGATGGTCCAAACTACATGTATATCTATGTTGCAATCAAAGATGTAATTGCAGTGCATTCAGACATACCCGAGCTACCTTTAATCTAGCTAGCACTGATACCAATAGCAGTGAATAGGCAGCACAGACTTCAGTGTGGGCTAGACACCCAAGTGCATACCTAGATTTGTACATGGGCAGGTAGGCCTCACTGAATCCCATGCTGCCATGGCTTCACTGCTATTGGCACCTGTGCAAACTAGATTAAAGCTAGCACGGTATGTCTAATCACACAATCCAAATGCAGTGTAGACATATCCTGTGCGCTCATAGGCTGTGTCCACAGTAGGACTGAGACTATGCTAGCAGCTTTTCTAGGATGACAACTTGAAAAAGACATCACATACCTTCTGAAAATTTTATATGTGCTACAGTTTCAATACCAAATATTACTATAACTGAACAAAGTAAGCAACAATTATTTCTCTATTTGTTCAGTTTGTTTACTTTGTACCATTTACTTCATTATGTACAGTCAGGTCCCACCTCCTCCCACCCAACTAAGTCACTACTGGAAAGTCCAACTCCTAAAAATAATTTTTTTAAAAAATATTCAGAATATACTATTTAAGAAATGCTGCATCAGAAACTGGATATTTTAAATTAGCTAATCACAAAAATTCAGGTTGGCTGGCTCTCTAAACAAAATCACTGTTAGCACTGCTTCTCTGACCAATGTGAAGTTCTTCAGTTTCTCATTTTAACTGTTTATACTGTTTATATAACCAAGTATATATTCCCTGGGGGTGGGGGGGTAGAGAAGAAGAGATGGAGAGTTCATCTACAGCATGGTTTTACAGCACACCTATAAAAATCCCTGTGTAGGAAATTCTTATGCATTCTACATTTCCCTGCCTAAGACCACAGGAACAGCAATAATCAGCAAATGCTTGAGAAGTTCCCTGTTTGTCTCTGATCTCTTTGGGCTCACAGTCCAGCCTCAGGTTGGCTGCTCTTGCATAAGGGTCTCCAGCTTCCCATCATACAAAAAGAACTTTCATGAAAGACAGCCAAGGCTGTAATGACCGAAGTATCAATAGTGCAGCTGAGATTTCTTCCTCTCCATTCCCCTTTTTAGGTTAAAAATCTCTCTCTCTTCCGCTGCCCATCAGACAGGGAGTCTAACTCAGTGGTTCTCAATCAGGGGTCCAGGGTCCACTGGGGGGCCTCGAGCAGGTTTCAGGGGGTCCGCCAAGCAGGGCTGGCATTAGACTTGCTGGGAACTAGGGCAGAAAGCCGATGCCTGAGCAACTTAGCTTCACAGGGCCCCCTGTGGCATGGGGCCCCGGGCAATTACCCTGCTTTCTACCCCCTAACGCTGGCCCTGGCTTTTATACGCAGAAAAACAGTTGTTGTGGCACAGATGGATCGTGGAATTTTTATAGCATGTTGGGAGGGGGCCTCAGAAAGAAAAAGGTTGAGAACTCCTGTTCTAACTCTCACTTTTCATTCTTTCTTGATTTCTGGAATTTTCCACTGGTGCCAGAAGCTCCACCTAGTGGGTGTGTACACTAACTGCACAGTTTGAACAGGAATTAACTATTTCCTTACCAACGGCTACATTTATTTGGGAACCGTAACTTTGAATTTGCTGACTTGTGTTTAAAATCTGAATTAAAATGTCACATTAATTTAGGTTTGTGATTTAAAAAAAAAAGTTGCTAATTTATTTATTTGACCATGCAAACATTTAAATAGGTCGATTCCTGCTTTGTGTTTTTGATGTGCCCTAGAAACTAATATCAAAAGTTGTCTGGTCTGTATGGCACAATATAATTAAGTGTACAGGAAGTCTAAACTGGAGGCACCAATGGCCGAGAAGATAGGCCACCACACCCAGTAGCCCCTTTAAAATGAGCA